CATACAAGACATTGAAATTTGGGTTAAATGACGATGATTTAAATTTAACTTGAGCTTGTTTCTTTTTGAAAATTAGAATCCAAAATTTGTTTACAAATGAATTTCCAGGGCTCCGGAAATGATATTGGAGTTTTTGATCGCGCCTCTGAATCAATCATGCCACTTCTTTTTCAATGTTCAAGATATCTACCTCAAAAGTGGAGCTGATTTTGGTGCTTTTCGACCGTTGGTCAGCGAATCGGAAGGTGGTTACCGGATGAATCTGGCTAATGAGATCAAATGCAAACTTGTTGTTCCCTACCAGGTTAACATTTTTTTTGGTCATTTTAAAAATTATTTTTAAAATGATCGTTTCAATTCTTAGCGATTGAATTTGAAGTATAAAAAATGTTAATTGCACAAGACTTCACAGAATGAAAGAATACTTAAAACTCTTGATCGTCCTTCCTGCTTCCTTCTCTCTCCTTATTTTTCCTCGCTCTGCATTTATCTCCATGTCTTAATTCATCCTTATTCGTCAACTTCCTGAGAATTTTTTTCTTACTTTCACTGAATAAAAAGATGGATTAGACAAGCATGCTTAAATACTTATTATTTTACAATTTTCAGACGTCGCCATCACTTGTAACATGAGAGAACACGATTTCCGAAAATCCTTTCAGGATTTATTTACTGGATCGATAGTGAGTTGAAGTTAGTTTACGCTATCATCTGTGCGTAGTTGTCTTCTGTGACGTTTTAGTTTTATTATAAAGGATATTAATAAATGTAAATATTTCGAATGAGCAGTTCTAACATATGATTCAGTTGCCTAGGACAAGTGCAAAATGCAATGGGACTACCTTAGATGATAATTTTTTTCCTTCGGAAAAGGTATACAGTACTTTCATTTCTTAAAGATCAAGGAATTACTCAAGGAAAATCAAGTAATTACTCAATTTTTTTCTTTTTATATTTTTTTCGACAAAGTTTTCCGGACAATTAATTTGGCTACATTCCAGAAATCAGTAGGGTAATGAAACTAGAATTATTTGAGCTAAAAGGCTCCTAAGTAGAAGAGTTTCAGTGTTCCGACGAAGTGAATCATAGTGTGAAGTTTCAAAAATTCCAAAACCGCGGAGGTATAAAGCATTCAAAGAAATTATTGTCATAGAATAAGAATTTCATAACAGATAAATGACTGCAATAAAATTACTAATTCATATCCGATGTATTCATAACATTTTGAACCTAATCGTTTCGAGATAGTTTCATTGCAACAACGGAATCATTGAAATGAAAATGCAATTGAAAAACAGCATGCAAAATTGTTAGATTTTCGATATGAACATTGAAGAGATAACTGTGTTCCAGAAATAATCATTTAAATCCGATTAAAATGCATCAGATTTGCAGGAATAATGAAAATAAAGTAAATGATTTCGTTGGATAAAATGAAAGCTTTGAATCTTTTACACTTCACTTTTTTCCCTGTACAGATAGATCTAAGGAACGACAAAACGAGAAGAAAAGCATTTTTTTTTTGCTGTGTTCATTTTTAGCAGATCTCTTGTGACATTTCCGATTCCAAAATTCTTCAAAATGAAATTGAAATAGTAATAATTTTCAGCAGAATGTTACATTTCACTTAATCTTTCAATTATCCAGAACGATAGCTTACAATTTCATGCATTGTTTTGCATATGATCATGTTAGGATGATACTCTTTAAATTTTCTACTATCTGGTAAGCATACAATTATAATGAAAGGAGCACTTATTCGAAATCGGCATGGAATCATTGAAAGGATTAAGTGAAGAAGAGTGAGATCAGAGGAGAAAGATGCTGCATGTTCTGAAAAGGTTGTTAACATCGATCACTCATTGTTACTCCAAGTACATCATTTTTGGGAACAAATATTTTCATAATTATTATCGATAAAGTTCAACAAAAGAGACATGGCGAGTGATGTATGGCGATGTTGCATAGGTTTTGTAATAAATACGACGGTAAATTCAGTTTGACATCATTAGTTTTGAGCTTATCGGAAAGTTACTAAATAAATGATAAGCATTAAGCGATAAACAAAAAGTAACAGCTAAACTGGTAATATTTTTTTGAATAATTTAAATCGTATGGGCAGAAAAATTATCACTTACTAAATTCGTTTTTCACTTCATTGCCCTTTTATACAATCTCATCCTTTTTATGTTTTATTTCTGGTACTGTCTTCCAAAAAAAATACTTCGCTCCTCTAAATGCTCTTGGAAACCCATAAGGAAAAAATAAACAAAACAATTATATACAAATCAATTGGCGATAGGGTCAAAGGTCACTAACTCACAAGATTTTGACATTGACGTCGTCCAATGCTTATCATGAATTTTATTTGGATATCAAATTTTTTTATTTCCATTGAAATTCGAATGTTTTCCTCTACTTACCGCACTTTCCCGTTCTTCGGTATAAGTGATATGCCAGAAAGTGTTCAGAAAATACTTTTGCTGGCAAAATTTGATAAGTTTTAAAGTCTTTGTTCGGAAACTAAGCTGAGATTCCACAAGAGCTTTCGACCTAATTCAAGTTTTTATATTTCACAAAACCATTGCATTTGCATTGCCGTAATGACAAATGATCAATAACAATGAATCCCGGGACATTCTGCGAGAAAACCCATTAAAAGCATCCAAAGAGAGAAGTCTGCTACAATATGTCGCTCATTTTTGTCTCTTCCATTTGATCCATTCGAATGGGCTGTCACGACATGAAAGTCGTTCTGTCCTGCAAAAACCTTATAACACTGAAGAAGTTCCAATCAGATCTCCTGGCACAAATGATACATTTAGTTCCGTTTCAGATCTTTCCTCTACTTCCACGAGTAGCATATGAATACATTCTTTGTACCTATCTGCGCTTCCTCTCTCCCAACAACGCATCACTCCATCTGTCAAAATCGAACTACCCTTTGCCAGTTGCTCACAGTAGCCCACTCTCCATCCCTCTTATCAATTCAAAATCTCAAGTTAAGTAATCAGATTAGACTTAACTACTCGATTAATTGCATCGTTATGCACACTTATATGATATATATATCGCCTGGGATCATTCATTATTTGGGAGCAAAATTTGCGTTGCGAGGCTATGGAAATTTACTGCGCCGAGAGATTGCGATGGCATTTCTGTATTGTTTGGTTGTTCGTGGAAGTGGGTGGATATGTGGGGTGATGTGGGAGAAGAGGTCGTCTGATTCAATGATTTACATGGAGGGAAAGTTGTAATGTCATGATGGGTGGCTGAAATGGATTGGCTTGAGCGCTTATTCTCATCCAACAATAACAATCAAACTGTTCCACTGCTACTAATCGATTTCCCCTTTGTATGTTATCTGAGACTGTTATTATTTTCGGACGTAATTAAACTAACCATTTAAAGACGATAGATCATGCTTGTTTCATGGTGTCACCGTGCTGAATTTATTTACAAGAACGAGTACGATAGACGTCATGTTTGAGAGTAGTGATTGGGACTGGGTAATACTTCCCTAAATTATGATGATTCCTCCTGGAATTGATTATAATGGGGAATGGCTATAAGACATAATCTTGCTGACGTAAATTTTTTAGTAAATGCCAAGTCCTGTTATCATCACTTTCTGTATAGTGTATGTGATGGGAAGACCTATTTAACCTTTCTTGCGCAGAGTTTGATTCCGTTTTCAGTGTGCCTTAATGTTCACTTCCTACATGTTGTCACAGATGCACATTATTAAAAATTTTTGTTCCACGTTCCCGGTGGCCACTTTCTGTTTGTTAGGAAGAGAATATTTAGAAATGCATTTTAATGGTAAAGTATACAAGTGCAAGATTGCATACTTTGCCATTAAAATGCATTTCCAAGTAAATGCCACGAAAAGAGGAAGTGAATAAATAATTTTATTCATATTTTGTTTGTATAAAAATCAGTCAACGAATGTTAATGAAAGTGTAGATGTGACGCTTTGTTTATTTATTTCTTAACCTCTTTAAACAATGCGGGCAATTTCTGTCGTCTATTATATATATATATATATATATATATATATATATA